ATAATAGTGCAAAATACAGACAGTGCGAATACAATAATAGTGCAAAATACAGACAGTGCGAATACAATAATAGTGCAAAATACACAATAATAGTGCAAAATACAGACAGTGCGAATACAAAAATAGTGCAAAATACAGACAGTGCAAATACAATAATAGTGCAAAATACAGACAGTGCGAATACAATATCAGTGCAAAATACAGACAGTGCGAATACAAAAATAGTGCAAAATACAGACAGTGCAAATACAATAATAGTGCAAAATACAGACAGTGCGAATACAATAATAGTGCAAAATACAGACAGTGTGAATACAATAATATTGCAAAATACACAATAGTGCAAAATACAGACAGTGCAAATACACTAACAGTGCAAAATACAGACAGTGCGAATACAATAATAGTGCAAAATACAGACAGTGCAAATACAATAATAGTGCAAAATACAGACAGTGCAAATACACTAATAGTGCAAAATACAGACAGTGCGAATACAAGAATAGTGCAAAATACAGACAGTGCAAATACACTAATAGTGCAAAATACAGACAGTGCAAATACAATGACAGTGCGAATACAAGAACAGTGCAAAATACAGACAGTGCGAATACAAGAATAGTGCAAAATACAGACAGTGTGAATACAATGACAGTGCGAATACAAGAACAGTGCAAAATACAGACAGTGCGAATACAAGAATAGTGCAAAATACAGACAGTGCGAATACAATAATAGTGCAAAATACAGACAGTGCAAATACAATGACAGTGCGAATACAAGAACAGTGCAAAATACAGACAGTGCGAATACAAGAATAGTGCAAAATACAGACAGTGCAAATACAATGACAGTGCGAATACAAGAACAGTGCAAAATACAGACAGTGCGAATACAAGAATAGTGCAAAATACAGACAGTGCGAATACACTAATAGTGCAAAATACAGACAGTGCAAATACAATGACAGTGCGAATACAATAATAGTGCAAAATACAGACAGTGCGAATACAAGAATAGTGCAAAATACAGACAGTGCAAATACACTAATAGTGCAAAATACAGACAGTGCAAATACAATGACAGTGCGAATACAAGAACAGTGCAAAATACAGACAGTGCGAATACAAGAATAGTGCAAAATACAGACAGTGTGAATACAATGACAGTGCGAATACAAGAACAGTGCAAAATACAGACAGTGCGAATACAAGAATAGTGCAAAATACAGACAGTGCGAATACAAGAATAGTGCAAAATACAGACAGTGCAAATACAATGACAGTGCGAATACAAGAACAGTGCAAAATACAGACAGTGCGAATACAAGAATAGTGCAAAATACAGACAGTGCGAATACAAGAATAGTGCAAAATACAGACAGTACAAATACACTTATAGTGCAAAATACAGACAGTGCAAATACAATGACAGTGCGAATACAATAATAGTGCAAAATACAGACAGTGCGAATACAAGAATAGTGCAAAATACAGACAGTGCGAATACAAGAATAGTGCAAAATACAGACAGTGCAAATACACTAATAGTGCAAAATACAGACAGTGCAAATACAATGACAGTGCGAATACAAGAACAGTGCAAAATACAGAGTGCGAATACAAGAATAGTGCAAAATACAGACAGTGCAAATACAATGACAGTGCGAATACAAGAACAGTGCAAAATACAGACAGTGCGAATACAAGAATAGTGCAAAATACAGACAGTGCAAATACACTAATAGTGCAAAATACAGACAGTGCAAATTATTTTCAAATCATTTATCGAAACAAAGATTATCCCACTGGATTGTGGAGGCCATTTCACCTGAAGAGGTGAGCCGTGTCCCCCGGAAGTGCATGCGCACTCCACTCGGAGCGTTGCATCTTCTTGGGCGCGTGCACGCGGCATCTCTCTAACAGACATCTGTATAGCTGCGGGCTGGGCGACACCCAACTCATTTGCTAGGTTTTACAATCTGCAAGTGGTGCCAGTATCCTCAAGGGTATTAGGTAACCCTTTGGTGATTGAGGAAACAACTCGGTAAGGTGTTGTAAAAGGCTTGCGGTGCCATTTTTCCCTAACACAGAGATATGTGTACCTTCTTATCTGTCAGTAAGTTCCCCGTCAGGTGGGCCCTGCAGATTTCTCCATGGCCCCCCGCACTGACTTAGCTGAGGAGTCAATTGCTGGCCCCCTACGTTGTAGATCTGCCCGTTGGTCAGCCCGCGTTTTGGGTATAGGCGTCTGCTATGCGTGATCCCCACTAGGTGATCCCATATGCCTTCTGCCATGGTTCAGTCCCCCCTCTTGGGTGGACCCGTGTCTTCCCTCTCCGCTAACCATCTTCTTATGCGCACTCCCCCTTCTTAGGGCTAGTCCATATGTAATTGCCATCTTATCTCCCCTATTGGGTGCGGATGGTCTCGGCAGCGTCCTCCCTACCGGGATTGTACGCTTCCCAACGTACTGTCGTATTTCCTAGAATTATCTAGACGCCAGCAACTCCCAAAAAAAAAAAAACCTATTCCGTAAAACTTCCTTTGAAGTGGGATAAGTTAGGGCCAGGGACACATTGGAGGACTGCGCCTACCATGATGTGGGTGCGTCACGCTTGCTTGACTATCCTCTCATTGGAGGCGTTGGTAAGGTGCAGTCATTATGGCGTTTTCCATAGTTCTCCTAATTCGTGAATTTTCCTTAAATCAAATCCACTAATAGCACTGGAGTTCCCCACCCGAAGGGGAACGCTCAGGTTACGGAAGTAACCCTCGGGGAACGGAAATGCTATTTACCATCGCCATAATGACTGTCCCTTAGCTGTTAGCAAGTCTCTTCAGCTTAAAAAGGATGGCGTCTGCTTGCTCCATGTGTGCTTATATGCTGGGTTATTTGGCAATGAAGCACACCTGCGCAAGCTTACGCTTATATTGACAACTTTATATTCCTGCAGTGCAGGCAACAACATATAAATTATGTACAGTCTGTGTACTCTTTAATCTTTAGCTCAAGCTTTTACTAATGCGCAGAAGGCAAGCCATTGTCAAATCTGGTTGTTGTTTGCTGTAATGGAAAGAGATGATGACTGTCCATCTTGTGTTGCTTCATGCTGCGGGTGAGATGCTCATTGTAGACCCTCAGCCATGCGATAGACGGTGTCTCCCTTACAGTTGCTCTTACTCTGGACACATTACACTCGATGTTGTAGGATGCAAGTTGTGAAACTAAATCAGATTTAATGCAAGTAGATGTATAAAACAGAAAGAAATGTATTAGGTTTTGCATAAAAACACTTGTGCTTAACAGAATTGTTTCAATTTGTTATTTGCCTATTACATGACACTAGAATGTTTGGTCTGTGTGTACATACACACACACACACACACACACACACACTATATATATATTAACTATATTGAAGTTCATGACAGTTAATACTACAGTATGTTGCTGCATTCATTAACGGAACATTGTAAAAACTACAATATTCATTCATTTTCTTTTCGGCTTAGTCCGTTAGTAATACAATATATATAGTATAAAACAAGTTAATACAGCATGGTTAAAACGTAATATTATTTAATATAACATAAAATTACAACTTGTTACTTCTTTCATCTGTGTCAAATTCTAGTTCATCATTTTTAATCGTACCTTAAGAGCCATAAAAGCAGCAAAGAAGGAGTGTCCTTTTAGTCACTCCACCTCTTCACGGAGACTGTCAGCCTGATCTGGTGTATTAATCATTTACCGTGGGTTGTGGAACTGAACAATAATGATGTTCCAAATGCTGGGCATCCACTGGCACAGGATCCTCATCAATTTAAGTGTAAGTCTCCCTTCTTTGCCATGCTTGGAATGCGTTTTGGTTTCGTTGCTAGAAGATTTCACTGTAGAGCGCGCTATGCGGAACAGAGAGACTGGCCTATATTCTACCGGAAACACGTCAGCAGAGTTCATGCATAGAGTCTATTGCTGTTTGATTCAATGCAAAATTTGCACAATTGTGCTATTAGCAATAATTGCTAATGCCAGAACGAATGTTCGCTGTAAAACTTTAACAAAAATAAAAACATTTAAAAGTCGTTTGATTCTTTGTGCTTAAAATTGTAAAATTTCAGTGGTATTATTTTTATTTTATATTTATTTTTAAACATAACTCTTATCATTGCACAAAGGCATTTTTACATTAATATGATGTTAAAATTAATAGTCATTTTACAAAACATATCCTCTATAAAATTAGTAATGTGAACTAATGATTTTTAGTAAAGACTACTATTCCAAAGTTGATTTGTCTTCTACACCCACTAAAGATTTTCTTTTAATACAGCTTAACCTATTTAGTTGAATATATGTAAAAACTAAAGTTGTACTCCAGTAAAGTCTAATTCGGGTTTACAGTAGCAATGCCTAAGCAACTGCCTAGCAATCAGCCACTTAAAAACCACTCAGAACCGTTTAGGAAAGGTTATAGAATTTTCCTGTTCCTCTGTAGCTTGTTGCTGTCCTTGTTTATAATGTGGCCGCTGGGCTGCTTGGCCCCTGATAATTGCTGCTTGCAGCTATATTTCTAATTGATGTTGTATTGGCCAATAACATTATTGTAGTCTGAAACCAGAAAATTTCTTTGTTCAACCCCTGTATATACATAAATACACAGCCACACACACACACATATGCACAAGTCTAGAATTTTTTTACTCTTTGTTTAGGTAACAAACTGTTTTATCGCTATAAAAGTGTCTTTTAACGCTTACAATGTCTATATGAAGGCTTGATTTATCGATTTCAGACCACCAACAGAATTTTTTTTCTGCATAGCATGCTGCTGAAAGTTTTACTGTTTTTGCATTTTCACACATACTTTACAATACATCATATACAAATGTAGATGATGTCGCATCTGCAACATTAACATTATTCTGCATAAAATTTTTCTGCCTTATATTGTTTTCTTGTGTGAAACTGTATTATTAAATGAGAAAAACTGCAAATGTTTCTTAATTAATTTGTTTATTTTTAAGATGAGCACTCAAAAAGCTTACAACTTGACAGGACATTTTCTTAAAAAAAAATTTAAATTAATGTATCAACAAACACAAAACAGTATGACATGTACTGGGTTCATTATGCGTGTTATTGAAGTTTGGTATCAAGCACTGAATTTGAACAATGTTTATCTGGTTTGCATTTCAAAATGCTTAATGTCTCTCGGCTATGTTTACACACCCATTGTCTGACATATATAATAAATAAAGTGTGTGCATTAATGTGTTTCATGTCTTGAAATAAAACTTGTTTGGCATTACATGTCTGCTAAAAAATCATCTGTTAGATTCCCAGCTGGACTCAATCCATGTGAAATTGCAAAAGACCGAAGGAAACTCCTCATTCATTTTTGACGATGTACTCATACATCTCCTCATTTTGATTGACTGGCTGATAAGGCTTTAATTTCTGCAAAGTAATGACAAAGATAAAAAGATGTTTCAAATTACACTATTTAAACAACTATTAAAATAGAATTTGATCATTTTAATGTTAATCCAATATATTAACAAGCTTCATGAAACATTGATCACCTTATTAATGCGATTAATACTTTATTTAGTTTAAAAACATTTCAGAATTATATTTATGTTGTACTGAAATTAAAATAGGATTCATAAATGTGAACTGTTTATAAATATCAGGAAGAAGATAAATAAAGGTAAACATACCTTTGGATAGACTAAATAACAGATACAAAGACAAATAACCAGTGCAGCAAGGAGAATTGCCAACACACGCTCAGGTGTTATGAACACTTCTGAAGAACCTAAAGGGAAAAAAACACAATAAACAAACAATAATAAGGAAACGGCAATACAGGACTAAAGCAAGTAAGCTATTAAACAAATGTAGATTTAACTTGAGACATTAACAAACTTAATTCAATATAAAATGAAATAATTCATATGTTAGGTCCAGGGTAGACATTATTAATTAAAAATATATACATGCATAAATGTATATATATATATATATATATATATAAATATATATATATATATATTTTTTTTTTTTTTTGGAAGACAAGAAAAATAAATCCTTTAGATGTATTGCTTAATGGCATCTTTTGTCCAATGGGTTTGGCCAGTCTAAAGTGAGAAGTTAAAGCAATGTTAAAGTAAATGCATCTTAAGTTAAAATGCACCTAAAATGAATAACAATGCCCCACAAATCAATCCAATTTTTCCTCATAGATTTTTCTATGTAAATTGAAAAGCTCCCCATACCCACATACTGTACAATGTTGAAGCAGCAACAAATTGGTTTAACTGTGTACTTGGAAATGTGTATCTCAGGCCTTGTGTAATCCAGCACCCTGCAGATAATTGTGTTTGTTTCAAGCATGTCAGCAAACAGAGGAAAAGAAGAAATGTGACTCTCTCAAAGGGTGCTTTCACACCTGCCTTAGGGTGCTTTCACATCTGTAGTTCGCTTCATTTGGTCCGGACCAAGCGCAATAAATAATACATTGTTGCATTTTCTGCCGTCTTTGGGTCGTTTTCACACCACACTGCTGGCTTTGGTCCGAACCAGTTGAAATGAACCAAAATGCAGTCATCTGACAAAATCCACATCTCTCATTGGCCAGATGTTGTCGAATATATTTCCTAAACTGCTTATTGATTGGTCAGAATTCACGTGCGGGAAAATGCCAGTGAACTCCCACAGGTAAACAAAACCTTTTACTCTGGAGGGTTGACTGCACTGGCTGATTGTATCCCTGCTTTAGACAAACTATACATTACAAAAATGATTGAAAATAATTTAGCTAAACTGTGACATGGTCATCTTGCGGAAATATTACTAACGATCCATCAGGTAATGTTTTCCCATCTCTCTCTCTCTCTGTTGGTAAAGCGGTTTCAACAAATATTTTCCTCCATATCCCATGATGCACAGCGCATCGGCCTACGGCAGCTGAATTAGTCCAAAAGCCGCAGTACTTTTTGCGGTTGGACCTGTTTTAGTACGAATCATATTCTCTCCACAAACGAACCGCTCCAGGGTTCGTTTGAAAGCGTACCGAGACCACCTCTTCAAGCAGGTCTCGCTACGCTTGTTTGGTCCGCTTTTGGTGCGCACTCGAGTACGATTGCTGCATTCTCACCTGCCCAAACGAACCATACCAAAAGGGGAAACGAACTCTAGTGCGATTCAATCTAACTAAATAAGGCAGGTGTGAAAGCACCCTTAGTCTATATAAAAAAAAAAAACTCCCAACACCTACCTAACTTTTAAATCTTACCACATTAGTTTAAATGCAAAATCTTAGTAACAGAAAACCTTTTGAAATTACTTAAGAATCTAACACTAAATATTGAGATTCTAAGATTTCAAATGGTGCCATAAATAGGGGTATTGGCCAACCCCTGGCCTCTACATATTTGAATAAATGATAGGTGGCTAGAGATATTTTTTTAATCTAATCTCACTGTAATCTTGGAATTAATCTAGATTAAAATGGCTCATTTGAATCCAACCGAAGGTATTCAGAATACGTGTGCTACCCAAATAATGACTAAAAGTAACTATTTAGGAACGGTTTTCTCAAGCCAGGTGGAGCATTGGACCAGGGGCTAATCTTAGTCACAAACTGCTTGAGAAACTGTTCTATGATAATTGGTGATGAAAATAAATGATGTTGTTTATTCAGTTTAGCATGAATTTTGAAATGTAGGCCTACATAAACTCCAAACAGCCATTTTTGATGACCTTTATCCGATTAAAATCAAAACTGAACTAAACAAAAATGGAGTAGAGACATGTAGAGTATGCAGATATTAGTGACATTATTAAAGTAAACACTGCAATCAAATTATTACCGTCATGTAGGACTTTTCGCCATATTTTCCCACAAAATCCACACACGCGGCTATCAGTAAAGGACCGCACGCACGCACACACACACACACACACACACACACACACAGATTGCATTGGACGTGTGTTAGTAAATTTCATTACACTCTCACCAGTCCTTACTCCTCATTTGTGTGTAGTACCCCAGTTTGTCACAGGGGAATGAATGAAATGTTCATGAGTGAACGTGAAACTGCCAAACTGCAGTTAAAGTCATCCAAAACTACAGGAAACTCTTACATGAAAGCACTTCACGTAAACACCTTAATTATATTATTGTCTATTAAGGCAAATAACTAGACTACAGATGTCCATGTAAGCGTAGTCAGTCGTGCCTTCGAAGTAAGTGAAAGATCCAGAAGGGCATCCTGCCGATTGATTCAGAAGAGCATTTTTTTGACGGCTCACCAGTTTCATTCAGCGTCATTTATTTTAAAAAGCACCTGCTCCATTTTATTTGTATATGTTTTATTGGAACACATAAACTACAGGTGCCTGATAGTTAGATGTGGAGCTAACATTAATCAAATTCACTCTAGTGAACTGCATCCATGTTAGCACGTCACGTTAGGTAATTTCACAGTAGGAATACACACAGATTCGAAGACCTGTTCTCTCTTTACCTACAGTGCAATTCAGCCAAGTATACATCCACGCTAAAATATCAAGGTGAAAGTCATCATAGCTTGCGTAGAATAGACCCAGCTCCCAACCCAACATTGAGAATAGATTAACAGCTGTACTTTTTTTAATCGCCTGATAAGAGTCTCGCATTAACGCAGCACGTTACCACAAATAACCGCCCACCACTAAAATAAATACACTGATGATGTCACTTTGAACCCTGTATAGGGTCCACAGAGTTTAAAAGGCACCAATTTTGGAATTCATTTAACACGTACTGTCTCTATACCGTTGTTTTTTTTTTTACTTTTTTTTTACTTTTGGCAAATGTGACAGCCCACCAAACTTGTAAATATGCTGCTGTATAGAGATCACCTTGGCTGTACTGTACAAAATTAAAAGTTACTGTACAAAATAAGCCTATATATATATATAGATGTGAGCAATATCACATAAGTAGCAGTGCGATGTGGCTGTATACTGTATATTGGAACTGGTGGGAGGCATGTATTGGCAAAAGGCCGCAGGCCAAGTTCCTTAAGCCTGGTTTATACTTCTGCGCCAAGTGACCGGCGTAACCCACGGCGCATGCAATTCGCATAGCTGTGCATTTATACTTCTGCGCGCTGTTTCTGTTGCTCTGCAATAACACTTCCAAAACGCTAGCTGGCAGTGAGGTGTTTATGTACCTCTGTGTAACGTACAGTCCGTAGATAAAATTACGTATTGGTTTTATAAAGGGGTCTAAGTCTTCTCTGCATGGGTTTATGACTCTTGGTGCCACAAAGTCTGTGCCTGTGTGACATCTCACTTATCTAGAGGTAAGCTAGAGATGGTTGCCCAAACTTCAAAAGACATTCCTGCCCCCCTTCCTCCAGAGACACACAGGGACACACACACACACAAGGGTCCCGACACTGAAATGGACTCAGAAATCCTGAATCAGCCCAAAAGTAAATGTTATGTGTTTGTAAACTTTGTGTTTTATTTCTAACTTTTCTAACTAGTAAATCTCTCTCTCGTGCCCTTTTTAAAATTGGTATACCAGCTAAGAATGTGTGAATCATGTTGATGTATTTCTTAAAACTGTCTCGTTTAATACCATTAGGTTTCTCCTGCCATTGCATAGCGCATGATATGGCTTAAATTATTTAATGCTCTGAGTTAATGTCTATTGCATGCTTTCGAGCGGATCCTTATTTTGCATATTAGCGGTCCAGAGACAAAGAAAATCTCCCGCTCAAACTTTGCTAGGAGACTATTGGTCAGTCAGTAAAAAAAGGGTGTGACATGCCACCACAGTTTAAAACCCAGCTGCACGCACAACTTTGTGCAGAAGATCCGAAAGAAGCTTTCTGAGAGCTGAGCCCCCTTTAAGGGGGGCAAACCGTATTTCTGTACTTGAGTGGATCATCCGAGCCCACGTTTTCTTATTTTTCCAGCAAAGTAAAACTTAGTTTAAAGTTGCGATCATGTATCCTCCAACCTTCATCGCAAACTCCGTGCATCTAGAAAGGACACTAAAGGACTCCATCAGAAGAAACTCGCAAAAAGAGAGAAATTTGTAAAAAAGAGAGAAAGGCCACCTTACTAAAGGTTTTTATGTTATGCGTTAAAGCTGTGCCCCTTATCAAAAAGGTGTTTTCTTTGCAATCTTGGTGGTTCTGAATAGTTGTGTGGAACTGAGGTAGATTTGCCATTCTTTTATCTAATCTCTCTATTTCCTCGCTTTTCTGTTTCTTTCTGTTTGTTATATATTCTATAGATCCCAATATAGCCTATGTATATTCAGTATACGTTTGCTCTATGTTTGATGTTATGTTTGTGCGTTTGTTCGTTATATGGCAGACTAGTCAATAAATCCCACTATATTCAAATGGACTGTATTGTTTGCCTCAGAAAAAGTCACTGAAATTATTGATTCCTTTGCTACAAGCTGTTATTAAGTTAATCAAACTTACTAAATAAATGATTAATCTACTTCACAAGGAGTGGAAATAATTCCCTTTCTAAATAAATAGATCCTCACCAGTCCGCTCGGACGAGCGGGCGAGGTCTGGTTATATTTTTTTGGTCAAATTAATAAATTAATCCAGGATATTAAGGATGAATAATAAATCGCTATTATTGATAATTAATATCCAAGATGTCAGCGCATGCACACGCTGCGGCTTCTCTCTCTCCCAAAAAAATGGTGTTTTTGTGTTCTTCTTCTTGTACGTCGCAGCGTTATTGTACGTCCACGTCGCGTTTATCTGTCCTTAAGCGTGCATATAGTCAAAC